ACTTTTGGATTGGATGAGCATTTCTCTTTATATTTAGATGTATGTCTCTAAGTTATAGATGGACTTTGTTCTTTTAAAATTGGTTTGTCAAATCAATAGAAAATTTTCAATTGTTACCTGAAGCTTATATCAAAATTATAAATATTAAGTTCTTCTTAAATTGAAATAAGGTAAGATAATGTGTTATAAAACAAGTGTGTTTGTACACTTACAAATAACTAGGGAAATTGTCTTAGTTTCAATTAGAACAAAATGATGCACCAATGTATTTGTTGTAAGTAAAAAAACAGCTTCCCGCATATGACGATTTTATTGTAAAGTTGTGAAAACTATATTCAAAATTGCACAAACTGTGGATTTGCTTCATTGAATATCGTTTCTCTTTCTCAATTAAGAGTATCTAGAATCTCAGATTTATCTAATTATTATACAGTTTTTGTATGTTTTTGTCCAAATTTGCTCATTGTGTTTGTCTGATTTTATCTTGTAAATTTCTCTTACCTCACCCTCTTCAGATTGCTGAAACAAAATTGCCCAAAAGTGAAGTAAACATACTTTTAGATCCCTTTTTATTTGTTAATCAAAGTAGTCTCTTTCCAGAAATTGCTAGATATTTTTAATCAGTAATCAACTTTATTTATTTAAAAGCTAAAAGGTGCTTGACATTTCTTTATTAGATGTAAGATAGTATTCATGTTTTGATACAAGTTCTGTCAAAAACAAGTTTGGAACTTCTTTGAAATAATGTAAACTAGTGTATACCATAATAGTCTGGAATGACCATTTTTGTTGAGTTCGCTGCCTTGGGTTATTATAAAAGGTGTCTTATATGGTTAACCCCAAGAGGCCTAAACTTTACATGGTGAAGAAAGTAAGTACATGGAAAACTGAATCACTTTAAAGAAAAATATTAAGTTTTTAAATCTGCATTACACTGTATCAGTGTATTCTGAGATAATAGTGTAAATTCATAACTATTCTTCTGGACCTGAAAGATGTTGTGAAGTACAGGTGATGCTGAGTGCCTGTCAGTATACTCTTCTCATACTACTTTTGAGTCTGATGTATCAACACATTGATTAATGTTTTAGATAGAACTAATGCATTGCTTTCAGTCTGCCTGTTCATAGTTCTTATTACAGTGTTCCTTATATACTAGGTTGCTAGACAATTTATAATATGGAATACAAAAGAGTATCATAATGGTAACACTTCTTAATTAAACATAATACTGTAATGCATTTTACAGTGCTGCTAATTTTCTTTTCGATATATCATTATTCTTGTAACAAGGTGGTTGGAACACAAGTTTTGTTTTTTCTCAATCCAAAGTAGTCAACAAACTTCACACACAGACACACATTATTTTTGTGTGTAAGAAAAAGTTAGAGTTTTATCAAACTAATGTTTACTTTTTTGCTGATAACTGTAATCAGAGTCCGGTTCATAATCTGGTAAATTCAGAGATTTTCTTACATTGTAGGTTAATGTTTTGCAATTTGTTTTTGTTAGATAACATTTAAGAAGGAGGAGATATATGTCTTTTTTTATTTTGGTTAGTGTTGTTTTCTATTGAGATACCAAGACGTACGTGATGGGATATTCGTAAACTTTCTTTTAAGAGCACTAATTAACAAAAGTTTTAACCTGTATGTGTTTCACAACTTTAATTCTCAGCATTCTGTTTATACTGTTTTTTTTATTTCAAACAATATTGATACTTGGCATGTTTTCAAAACGAGACCCAAAACTCGTGCGCTTGTTGACTATTCTTCTTCAGGAAAATAAAGGGTTAAGTTTAATGAGTGTGATGAAATATATAGGCT